CTAATCCCAGATGCTGTGAAGGAGTGAGATTCACAGAAAGCCTCAAATTTACTTGCTCAGATTCCATTTGGAGGCTAGCTGTGCCCATTCTTTCCTGACAAACCGATCCCTTTCAGCCCAGCTTTCCAATACCAATGCTAGTTGTCTTGAGGGCTCGTCATCATGACTGCAGACACGATGTGTGTGAAGATGCCAGTCTAAGGCCTACTGCTAATGGAAGCTGGAGCTGCTGTCGCTGCACTTTACCAGGGTGCGTGGCTTCAGGTTCAGGTACTGTGTTATAGTCTGTCTGTGTCCTTGGCAGTACCAAGCTTTCAGATAGCCCTCTGTGTTCAAGGTCACCCGATTTATTTCCTGTGAGAGAATAAGGATGTTATCAATAGATAGAATATGAATGTATTTATGGTACCTGCAAGTTTGGGCTTGCCTTCCTTGTCCTTTTCCTGCACAGAAACCTCTCTGTTAGTGGGGATGGAACTCTATGAAAGGCTCAGGTGAAGAACTACATCTTATACAGCACTCTATCCTTACCCACCTCAGTCACCCCAGGCCACACAGGGTCCTGGAGTGGAATGCTGTCGCTAGAGAGAGGCACACTGGATAATCACAACTTACTGCAAAATACTGAAAAAGTTGCTCATTAATTTTATAACATGGTTTCGTTCTGGAACAATGACATTGTGTATACATTGGATTTCATAAAATGTATTTTTCTTATGTGGCCTCCAGGAAAATTTAAAGTACAAATGTGACTCGTTTCTGATAGACTCATTTCTGGTACATGCTTCTTCATTCATGTTTCAAAGCAATCATTTGGAGTAGACTGAAACACCATTATTTCACAGTTGATCAGACTGAGGCATAGCGACAAAGTCACTTTGACCAATCTCAAAGCTAGAGATAGGACTTCTAGCTCCATAGGCTGTACAGACTTGTTGCCCATCTACTGCCTAAAAGCAATAAACCGATTTAATATCATGCCAAATGTACTATGCATATGTTTGAGATCTAGAATCGGCAACTGAGGGATTGTCATAGCTGAGTGTATTACAGTGGGTCTTCCTTTTTTAACACCCCTCCAGAACTATCATTGTGATGTGTCAAGCTCACCTGCTTGGGAGACAGTTATGACAGCACCCAGACAGCTAGACAGGAACTCGGGGGCCAAAAGCTCCAGGCCCAGCATTTCCATGTGGCCATAACCAAGCCATCTCAGGATCTCCTCATGTGTAAAATGAACGGCAAAAACTAAAGGACTCTCTTCTTTGTTGTTTAAAAACCCATTGTCAAGGTCAGGATGACCCAGAGACTGTTTGCAGGTTCATGTGAGCTTGGAGATGTTTTTCTTTCCTGTGAGTAAAAGACAAAGTAATTCTGGTTGTATCCCTAAGAGCCTGAATTGTCAAAGCACTAGAAACATAAGGCTACTGCATGTATATATATTATATATACAAATGTGTTAATATAGTAACGTGTATATTATATACATTTATATATGTAATATAAATATATGTGTATACATCTTAGATACATCCATGGCATTTGTATAGCATGTAGATAGCTGTAAATATGTGTGCTGTATTTGTACATATGTGTCCATATACACACACCATACATAATTTATGTGTGTGTGTGTGAGTGGGAGTCAGTTTTACTAATGTAACACCAATATTTTTAGAATGCGAGGGTCCAGACATAATAAAACATGTTGTTTTAGAAAGTGTGAAAGATGGACAAACAAGTAGAGTCTAAGTTACTAACGGTCCAGTTTTAAGTTTCTCTCTTTTATTTTTGATAGTGTAATATAATTATGTCATTTCTCCTTTTTATTTTCTCTTTCCAAAACCTTCCATAACACCCCTTCTTGCTCTCTTTCATGTTAATGGCTTCTTTATTATTAGTCATTGTTAGTTGTTACATGCATATGTGTATATGTAGATACACAGAGGAACTTGTGTACCCCCCCCCACACACACACTCACACACACATGTTCAGTCTGTATAATGTTCCTTGTCTATTGGATTTTCTTTCCCACTTTTAGTATTCTAGACAAACCATATTTAGTATGATTTCTGCTGTCGGCTGGTAACTCTCAGTTAGAAAGAACTCTCAGGTGTACGCTGTGCTGACCAAATTGCCTCCAGTTAAAGTGGAGAAAGCATGAGCAGGCAGATAGTACAAATGTCAGCTGGAGCCTGTACATTTGTTACATGAGTGCTGAATGCTCGGAATCATTGGTTGCCCCTGAGTCCCGAGTCCAAAGTCAGGACTCTAAGAACATGACAGTAGTGCCACCCGACACGGTGAGGCTCTCCATCATGGCAGAGTTAACGCCACCCATGCTTCGCCTGAGTTTCATTCTGTCAGCCTGGCCTGGACCTGTGCACGCCACCCTCAACTGTACACAAAGGCAAGTAAGTGCAAGTGGCTCCTGGGCTTCACCCATGTGAGCAGCGGAGAGGGAAGTGGAAGCAGGTACAGCTTCCTGTGTCCTTTCATTGAGGAAATAAGTCCCGCCACGCTGAGGTCACCCCTTTGTAAAACCAACCTAACCCACGCTGTGTAGTCATACCCCACATGAACACCTCTCCCCCAAGGGCCCCCTCACTGATCTCAAGTTCCTTCTCGCAATGGTACATCATCCATAAATTCATTTTTCTCTGTGTTTGGCTCTCTCTAAAGGCTTCGGTCTGTTTCAGTGCTCAAGAGTTTTTGCCTTTTTCAACTTTTATTACTATATTATTATTATTATTATTATTTTAGTTTTTATTTCATGTGTGTGAGTGTTTTATCTTCATGTATGTATGTGTACCACATGTGTGTCTGGTGACTGTGGAGGTCAGAAGAAGGTGTCAGATCCCCTAGAGTGGGTTCACAGCCATTAGTAAGCCATCAGATGGGTGCTGGAATTGAAACCAGGTCCTCTGGAAGAGCAGCAAGTCTGTTTAACTGCTGAGCCATCCTCCAGTTCCTTGCTCATGTTTTTTTTTTTTTTTTTAACATACTTTCCAGACTATACAACCTAGTGTCTGAGGGGAACAGGTCAACTAGTATGGCCACAAAATTGGAAGTCCTGGATTTGCTCTTTGTCCATGCATTCTTGCAAGCTAATGATAGAGATTTACATGATCCCACCTGGTTGGCATAGCTCTACATGTGGAATGGAGGTGGGGGGATGGGAGGGGTGTTTTGAGGGGGGAGAAAGGGTAAGAGTGAGGGAGGGAGGTAGGGGGAACCGGGATCCACATGTAAAATAATAATAATAATAATAATGATAAAAAGATTGATTCAAAGAAGAGGCAAACATTTCACTGAGTGGGAAACCCCTACAATTCCATTGCAGGGGCTTTTCCAACCCTTTATTGATGACCAATGCAAATCAGTGCCTCTACTTCTTAGTGAGAGAATGAAAAACAGGTTCTCATTTGTTCACTTTTCAGAGCGGCACCCAGGGCTTGTCGCCTATATGAGTCCTTGCATCTAGGCTAACAGTTAATGTCCTGGAAAGACTTTACTCCAACAGGTGATGCAGTTCAGACAAGCAGAGGGGGGAAGTCTGTAAACCCATAGGTCTTCATTTAAGCTTTTAATTTGGGCCCTGAATTGTGAAATGAATTATGACATTTTTAATGCCCTTACATAAGAACATCAGCAATAAACTGTTGGTGATAGTAGCCCTGACTTCCTAACCCATACTGTGTGGTTGTGCTGACAATGAACTCTGCCAGCTGTGGGCCACTTCATAAGTAGTAAAACTTTGTGTCCAGGAAAGCTTTGTTACCTTTTCAGTTCCATTAGGCACACTTCACTGTCTTCTTCTGTTGTGAAGACTTTCCAGTTGTTTAGGCAAACGAGTAAACATCTCTCCATAGAATATAATCCTAACATACAACCCTAACCTGTTCCAGCCACCCTGCTGCCTGCAGTCAGTATACACACATTAACCGTTGCCAAATTCAACACACCATTCCCAAACCTAGTGAAGAAGCCGTAGCCATTGATTCTTGCTCATGAGCCAGGGAGGATGTCTTCCCTCCCAGCTGACCAGACCTGTTCTTATTGCAAGCCTGTAGCTTCAGATACTGGTTCAGCCTATTGGCATGTCTGCCTGTATACAATTTGTCAAACCCAAAGCTCCAGAGCATGGCACACATGATGAGAGGCAGCAGCCAGAGTTTGATGCTGGGCGAAGCACTTGATTATTCATTCACTCATCCGCATACGATTATCTATGCCATGGAATAGAAACCTCTGATGGGAGACATGGGGTGCAGAGGCCAGCTTGCTTCTGCGTCACTCACACCTCTGCTGGAGGCTGACAGGAGAGAAATACTTCTTAGATTCTTTCTGGATTCTAAAGGATGTTTCTAGTCCTTTTCTTCATACCAAGGATTAGTAAACTATGGCTAATATGGAAAGCCCCCTTTTGTACAACTACCCAACTATTTAAGAGGTTTAGAAAGATGGCCCTCTGGCTAAGAGCATATAATGCCCTTGCAAGGTCCTGAGTTCACTTCCTAACCCCCACTTCCTGGTGGCTCACAACTGCCTGCAATCCCAACCTGGGGTGAACCATAGGCCTCTTGCCTCTGCTGTCACCTGCACTCATGTGCACACACACACACACACACACACACACACACACACTAAAAACTGAAGCAAGTCTTCAGATGGAAAGTAATACTTAATGCCACATGAGAATTATTTGACAGTCAAACTTGTGTTCATAAAGTTTTATTGAAACACATTCATACTCCCGCTCTGTCTATTGTCTCTGGCTTCTTCAGATCTATAAAAATAGTTAGGATTAGAGTTGCTATGGAAACCATGTGTCCCACAAAGCCTAAAATATTTACTTGCTAGCCCTTTACAGAAAATGTCTGCCACTCCTATTTTATAGAATAAAGAAAGTTTGGGAGAGGCAGGGCAGGGCTATAGATGTTCATTGGATTACTTCCATGTTTACTTGGAGTTAATAGTTTCTTTCTTTCCTCCCTAGTAATTTGTACCTGGAGACACTCATGTTCCAGTAATCAGGAGGCATCTCGCTGCCACTTCATGGTCCAGGGGTGTGTGGCCCAGTGAGGTTCCCAAGGTGTACAGCATGACCTTGCTGCTCCTGGGCGCGGTGCTGCTGGTGGCCCAGCCCCAGCTCGTGCCTTCCCACCCAGCTGTTCCCGGCCCCGGTGCCAGACAGCAGGAGCTTCTGCGGAAGATGGGTACCCTCCAGGAGGACACCCGAGAAGGTGCAGCGGCCAATGGTTCCACAAAGCAGTTACCACAAACCATCATTATTGGGGTACGCAAGGGTGGTACCCGAGCGCTGCTGGAGATGCTCAGCTTGCATCCAGATGTGGCAGCGGCTGAGAACGAGGTTCATTTCTTTGACTGGGAGGAGCATTACAGCCAGGGCCTGGGCTGGTATCTCACCCAGATGCCCTTCTCCTCCCCGAACCAGCTCACCGTGGAGAAGACACCTGCCTACTTCACTTCGCCCAAAGTGCCTGAGAGAATCCACAGCATGAACCCGGCTATCCGCCTGCTGCTCATCCTGAGGGACCCTTCAGAGCGCGTGCTGTCTGACTACACCCAGGTGTTGTACAACCACCTTCAGAAGCGCAAGCCCTACCCACCCATAGAGGACCTCCTGGTGCGGGACGGCCGGCTCAACATGGACTACAAGGCTCTCAACCGCAGCCTGTATCATGCACACATGCTGAACTGGCTGCGTTTCTTCCCACTGGGCCACATCCACATTGTAGATGGCGACCGCCTCATCAGAGACCCTTTCCCTGAGATCCAGAAGGTCGAAAGGTTCCTAAAGCTGTCCCCACAGATCAACGCTTCGAACTTCTACTTTAACAAAACCAAGGGCTTCTACTGCCTGCGGGACAGCGGCAAGGACCGCTGCTTACACGAGTCCAAAGGCCGGGCGCACCCCCAAGTGGATCCCAAACTACTCGATAAACTGCACGAATATTTTCATGAGCCAAATAAGAAATTCTTTGAGCTCGTGGGCAGAACATTCGATTGGCACTGATTTGCCCTCCATTAGACCCTGGACTTAACCTGTTGTAACTTCTGATGTACATCTGTGGGAGGGGGGAAAAGAATTTTAAAAAGGCATTTAAGCTATAATTTATTTGTAAAACCTACAAATGACTTCTGTACAGTATTAGATTCACAGTTGCCATATATAGTAGTTATATTTTTCTACTTGTTAAATGGAGGGCGTTTTGTATTGTTTTTCATGGTTGTTAACATTGTGTATATGTCTCTATAATATGAAGGAACTTAACTATTGCACTGAAAAAAAGATTTTTCTGGAGACGTCTTTTTTTTTCTTTTTAATATAATTAACTTGCCTCCAAATCAAATAGCTCTCTGTTTGTACCCTCCTTGTCAAATCTATATTCTTTTTCTCCTTAAAATTTTTTTATTGGTATTATGGACTTCTCTCCTTTCTGAATTTGTTCTTTTAATATTTAATGTCTCACTGTGGACATCAGATGAAGTTTTTACTTGCACTTTAAATTTCCTCCTCATTGAGAGTTTGGAAAAGGCTATTGTATCCATTCTCAAGTCACCCTGAATACGGGTTTAACCCCTGCCAGCCTACATGTGGGTTTACCCCTGCCAGCCTGCATGTGGGTTTAACTCACGTAAATTTCCAGTGCAGAAAATAGTAGTGAGGATGGAAACACAGATGATGGCCTGGAACAAGTTCCCTAAGGTCCAGTTTTGTCTCAGAGGATATCTGCATATACAGTGTCAGCAATGGCCAAGATCCATAATAAAGAAGATTACATCCTTGGATTTCAGAATGATCTTGGGCCTGGAAATTTTGCCTTTTGGAGCAATTGGCCTCTCAAAATCTGCTTGACAGAGAGAAGGAAGCATGCAAGGTCTCAGTGTGTGTGTGTGTGTGTGTGTGTGTGATGTGTGTGTGTGCGTGCACGTGTGTGTCCATTCTGTAGCTTGAATGAGGAGCAGAGTAGGAAGTAGATTTTGCTCACTCTGAAATTTGTTTCCTGGAAGATCAATATGCACTTATGATCTTCTGTTTTATACTCCTCATAGACATATAAACTTGTACGCTTCAAAATCAGTTCCAACTTTAAACCCGGAATAGGAAGGAAAAGGAAAACTCCCAAGGGTTGAAGTTAGGATGTGCACCTGCACACTTAAATGGGGGAGTTCCACTTCTCCCTAGACATCCACTTAGCAGAGGCTGCTCACAAAAGCTGGTTGTAAGCCTCTGGATTGACATGCATACCTGTCAATCAGCCTTTTACAATTAAACAGACTAGAGCTCATCCATAAGAAGGTAAAATGAGGTCATTACAGTAGGAGAGAACAGGAGTATAAAACCTGGCTCTTTGGAAAGAATGAAACACAAATAGGCATTATTGATTGTGTTCTCTGTCTAAGAACTCTCTGAAACTTCCTTCAAGCAAACTCAAGAGGAAGGGGTTACTGGGACAAGTTCAAAAAGATAGAGAATAGGCCCCCAAACACACGGAACTTGCTGAAGGCCACACTATCAGGCTTCGAGCCCAGTGGTAGCCAACTGTTACTTGTTTACTTCCACTCTGCTCTAGCTGTATCTGAGCTCTAAAGAAATAGCTCAAATCCAGAGACAATGTCTGTCTCACTTGACCTGACATGTTTTCCCTGGTGTCATAAGTCTTCTTCCCTGACTGCTGTGTTTGAGCTAGAGGAAGAACAAGGGGGAAAGCAAAATTTTTCTTAGCAGTCTTCTCAGGAAAATGAGTCACCTTGGGTGTGTTAGAAATACCAGTCTGACTGGACATTAGTCTGGCCCACACCCCATTCCTGGCTAGGCTCTGATAGAAGAGAGGATGCCCTCCTCATCTGAACCCATTAGAATTGTCAATCAACCACTGTCTCCTCAGAAAGAGGAACAGAAATACTTGCAGCAGATTTCTGTAGGCAATGTGGTATGCAGGGTACTTCCCGCCACAGCATGCCCTTGGATCATTTATGTCAGAAAGAGGAAATCAAGTTTTCAAAGCTGATCAGGAATGTGGTGAAAGAAAGTTCCAGTGGGAATCCCTGCTGATCAAGAAGATGGTTGGAACCCGGTGTGCTGCGTCCAGGGGTGCTGGTTACGAATGAAGAAAGTCAGGACTGGCACCATGGATGAGCCTCAGCTGTTAGAACCGGCATAGCTGATGACGTGCGGTAGCACAGTGTAAGTGATCAGTGGATGTGCATTCTATTAATTGCTTTACTGGGGGCACACAGTATTGACTCGGGGCATCATATTCCAGCATACCATCAGGGAAAATATCAAGAGTCCCAATAATATCATATATTCATTATTTTTCTAGTAAAACTCCAGTGGGACATCAGTACATTCTGAGGAGCAAAATCCATCACTTCCTACATTGCTGCAGACCTCATCCAAGCCCCGTTACCTTCAAAGGATGCTGCAATGGACCCATGGCCATTCCTGTCAGAACAAAATCCAGTACGATAGGACTCAAATGGCATTTGGTCTCTCCTGACCATGCCAAATGCCAATCCCATTAACAAAGATAGTTTCCTGATTTGGTGGGTAGGCTGTAGGTTCCCACTCCAGCCCAGGTTACAGCCACCGCAGGGTTCCAGGAGAGCAGCTAGGATTTACTGAGCTAAGAATCATCTATGAAGTTAGATTCATACCTCATTTGTTGTTCTGAAGTAAACATAGCATCAGTTTTCCTTCCTCCCCAAATTAGGCAGTGTTAAAATCCTGGTGATATTATGTGACTATCCATTAACAGCCTGGAAATTGGTTAGTTTGAGAAGAACCAGGACAGGTCTCTGAGCTTAGGCTGCTTTGCTATTTCAACCTTCAGCAAAAGAGATATGGAGGCTAGAAGAAGCCACTGTCCATAATATCGGATGCTTACAGATATGGGAACAAAGATCATTATATTCATTAGAATGACCTTTTTCTTGAGTTTCTATTACAAGGCAAGGGTGGTGTTAACTCTTCAAAATATACTAAAAGGAAAGCCACAGGAAATAATAACCATTAACTGCATGGGGTCTTAATAAGAAGCAAAGAAGTGCTAAGACAACATGGGAAATGGCCTTGAGATGTGTACAGGCTGAGCAGGACAGTATGTTTCAAAGTTTGGCATCAATTCAGCTACGTTCCCAGAAGGATCAACTAGTCCACATGAAGATTATGAATGAAGAATGAGGCATGAGATTTTCCTGAATGCCGATCCTTTGCCTTACTTTTCCTTTTTAGAAGACAGGAAAGGATATTACCTAAAGGAATCACTAGAGCTATGGCCAAAGCCACTTAATTCAAGGGTCACAGAGATCCTACCCTTTTGTAGGAAGGCGTGGAAGAGTAATTGCCCTGGAGCCAGAAAATGAAAGCCATTGATGTTACTACCAAAGGGAAACATCCTGCATAAGGACATGTCTTGAATCAAAAAGTGGTGACTGGAAAGGAAAAGGAGGTAGGGAAAGTACAGGAAAAGTCTTGTTTAACAAGTGTGTAGCTTGGATTAAACACATTAAACATGACAGAAGTGCTGAGAGCCTCATGGTCTCCCATAGGACTTTGATTCCTGTGCAGATTTAGTCATTACATAAGAATACCCATAATGTTTACATACCCACTTTGGGCTTGGTATCTTAAATACATTGCTTCTAACCTGCATACAAACTCTGAGAGAGGAAATAGTGTCCTAGTTTAATAAAAGAAGAAAATCATAATCAGGGATTAAAGGGGTTTCCTGTGATAACAGAGAAAGTTATTGATTTCATGTGCATATGTGCATGCTTTTTCTAGTGTCCTGAATCTGGTTAATTTCCTATGGTGAGTAAAGGGAAGAACCAATACATAGATCTCTTTTAAGAAGGTGACATCTAACAGAAGCTATAGGGTGTGAGGTTGGACACAGGAGAATACTGGAAAGTCACCTCCCATAGAACCACACATAGGATGGCCTAAGGTGTGGGCAGAAGTTAAAAGACAAATATATATATACATATATGGGCATGAGATAAAGGGCAGAGCATGTATCCCCCAACATCACCAAATAAGCCGAGGACCCGTACACAACACATTACCTCATCCAGTGGCTTGATTGAAAGATACTCAGAGAAGAAGGAACCCTGGATCTTCAGGGGATACTGGTACCAAGGTAGCTCCATTTTCCTCGAATTCTACAGTTAAGTAAAAAGAAAGAAAAAGCAATTACAGTCAGGAGACCTGGGTGTAAATCCAAGTTTGATCATGTGGCCTTCAGCTCAAATTCTCAGAGCCTTAATTTCTTCTTCTACATTCTTGCCCCTTTTTCTTTTTTTGGTGAAAATGGGCTCATACTTCACTCAGTTGAACTGTAAAGACCATCAAGATGGTGCACACATATGGCTGAATTATGATCCGGATTTAGGGGTTTAGGAGACACATAGTTTCTGATTGTAAAGCAGTCAGCAAAAACTCACTGTGTTTGATCCCTCATCCACTGCCCAGCTATGTGACCATTTCTGTTAGTGCCCCAGGCAGATCCTGTCTTCCAGCCTTCTCCATCTTCCACAAAGGCAGACTACTAAACAGCTATGCAGAAATTTTAACAAATGGCATGTTACCTGGAGATGGCTGCACTGCCTTCTTGCTGGGAGCAAGTCATTAATGTTTGACTGTGTGATGAGGAGAGTGAATTGGATGGTAATGGGGAATTGATTCCTGTTCCTTGCCTCTGCACAGACAACTTCATAGGACAATGTCTGCTTGGAGCTCCTCCTGATATCAGCCTAGATCCAGACTTCCAAAAAAAACCGTGCCTGTTTGTTTCTTCCCACCCTTCCCCCTCCCCTCTTTGCTGCCCTTTCTCTTTTCACCCCATCATTCGTAAATGGATTCCCAGGCAAACTTTTGCTTCCAGGACACCTACTATCAGAGAATTAAATGTTCATACATGTCTTATTCTATGCACATAATATAGTTAGTATGACCAACCTATAGACATCATTTTTCTAATTAAAGGAGTAGAAAACAAGTCTGTTTTTATTGGCTAGCACATAGAAGGATTAAATACAATAATAGATGAAATTTTTACCAAGTAACTCTTTTCCTTGTATTATTAGATGATGATCAAAATCCTATCAATGTAGCCAGGCATGTTGGCACATGACTATAATCCCAGTACTTGTGACTTTGAGGCAAGAGGATCACCAGTTCAAAGTCATTAGGAGTTACATAGGCAGACCCCATCTCAGAAAAGAAAAAAAGTGTCAATATTCCATTGTATAAATATAGGTTCCAGTTCAGAAAATATTTCTGGGTCCCATAGATAA